CTAAGTGGTAAAGCAACCTTGGGTTCAATTGCCAGTTCCCAACCCCCCACCCTGCCCCAAACAAAAAGGAGAGAGGGAGAGAGAGAGAAGAAAGTAACTAAAAAGACAACTCACAGAATGGAAGAAGCTATTTTCAAATCACATATCTAATCAGAATCTAGTATCTAGAATATAAAAAGAGAACAACTAAATAAAAAGAGAACTGAATTTTTTTTTTTTTTTTTTTTTTTTTGTTACTGGGGATTGAACTCAGGGGCACTTGGCCACTGAGCCACATCCTCAGCCCTATTTTGCATTTTATTTAGAGACAGGATCTCACTGAGTTCTTAGCACCTTGAAGGCACTGGGGCTGGCTTTGATCCTCCTGCCTCAACCTCCTGAGCTGCTGGTATTATAGGCATGCCCCACACCATACCCAGCCCCAAATTTTAAAATTAAGCAAAGGACTTAAATAGATCTCTCTCCAAAGAAGAAATACAAATAAATAATCCTGGAGCACAGGGGAAGATGCCCAACATCATTAATCATTAGAGAAATACAAATTAAAAACACAATGATACTTACACACATACCAGAACAGCCATTTTTTTAAAAAGCAACAAGTGTTAATGAGGATGTGAAGAAATTGGAATCTTCGGGCATTGCTGGTACAAATATAAAATGGTGCTGTCACCATGGAAAAACTGGTGGTTCCTTGACAAGTTTGACACAGGATTACTATATGACCCAGAAATTCTACTTCTAGGTACACACCCAGAAGAATTAAAAACAAGGGTTCAAACAAAAACATGTACATGAACGTTCACAACAGCACTCCACATAAAAGGTGGAAATATCCCAAATATCCATAGACAGATGAATAGATAAACAAAATGTGGTAAAGCCATAAAATGGAATATTACTCAGTCTTAAAAGGGAATTATATACTAATACTATGCCTCAACATGGGTGGATCTCAAAAACACGCTAAGTGAGATGAGTGTGGTGACAGACTCCTACAATCTCAGCTAGTAGTAAGGCTCAGGAAGGAGGATTAAAATTACAAGGACAGGACTGGGAATATAGCTCAGTTGGTACAGTGCTTGCCTTCCATGCACAAGACCCTGGGTACAATCCCTAGCACACCAAAAAAAAAAAAAAAGTCACCAGGGACTAGAGGGAAGGAAGAAAGGGGAGTGACTGTTTATTGGGTACCATTTCCCTCTGTGGTGATGAAAACACAGTGGTTCTGCTTTACATAACATAAAGTTACCTAATGCCTCTGATTGTACACTTTATTTCTCTGACTTCATTTCTATCATTTTTTAAAATATTTATTTTTTAGTTGTAGATGGACAGCATGCCTTTATTTCACTTATTTATTTTTATGTGGTGCTGAGGATCGAACCTAATGCCTCACATATGTGAGGCAAGCGTGCTACCACTTGAGCCATATCCCCAGCCCGTTCAATTATAAAATTGCTACATGAACATGATTTAAGATGTTAAATAGTACCAAGAGGATGAAAAGGGAAACAAAAGAAGATATCCCTCTTTAACTTTCCCTGTGTTTTTGTCAGCTTTTTGTAACTCGAATTGTATACTTTAAAATGGTTCAAATGGTAAATTGTTAAGGAATTGTATCACAATTTTAATAGTTACCATGCTAAAAGGCAGAAATCAATGTACTTCATTTCCATTAAGATTTTTTTTAAAAAAATGGGCTGGGATTGTGGCTCAGTGGTAGAGCACTCACCTAGCATGCACGGGGCCCTGGGTTCGATCCTCAGCACCATATAAAAATAAATAAATGGAATAAAGGCATTGTGTCCAACTACAACTAAAAAAACAAATATTATAAAAAAGATTTTTAAAAAAGAGCTGGGGACATAGCTGAGTGGTAGAGTGTTTGCCTAGCATGTGTGAGGCCCTGGGTTTGATCCTAGCACCATAAAAAAAAAATAAAGAAAAGAAGAAAACAGGAAAAAATATAAAATATATAAAAAATAAAAAGAGCATTAAAGGCTCATTTCTGCAATAAGTCAATATCAACGTTTTTCAAACCAAATATCTCATAACAAATTCTACCAAAACAATATAAAGTGGCATAAATTGCTGAGCACAGTGGCATATGCCTGTAATTCCAGCATCTTGGGAAGCTGAGGCAGAAGGATTTCGATGTCCAGCCAGCCTCAGCAATTCAGCAACTCAGTGAGACCCTGTCTCTAAATAAAATATGAAAAAGGACTAGAGATGTGGCTCAGTGATTAAACAGCCCTGGATTCAATCCCCAGTACCAAAAAGGGAAGGGGGCATCAATTCTATTTTTGAAGATTAAGGGATTTCTCAATAAATACCTTTATAGATGTCCTTTATAGTCATAGAATGTCTCCTAACAATATCACAAATTTTATGATATCTCAAACAACAAAAAAAAGACAAACTCCTTTGAAAGAATTCCTGCTTTTAGCCAAGAGATGTAATCAAGTATACCTGCAAATAAAGCCGGTCTACTTATGTTGAGAGACGAAAGATTGTTTTTTCTTTCACACAATCCTCCCCCAGCATAAAAACATACTCCATTAATTATTTTTAATTCAATTACCTGACTAGAAGTCTGTTGGTAAAGTAACAGCCCCCCGGTCAACACACACACCTTTTTTTAAAATTTCTATCTACTATGGTTCTTTGCAGCCACTGGTTTTATCATTGACTTGGCTAAGCAATGGACAACGTGGTAAAAACACAAACTCCTCTATTTTAAGGAAGACAGTCAAGTTAACACTACAGAAATCTAAATCCTGAAACAGTCTAGAATAATTAGAGCAACAAATGCAGATTGTGATATAAGAATTAACATTGTTCTAGAAATCAAAACTCCAGGATCTACCACTTATTAGGGCAAGTCTTATTTTTCTGAGCTTTCTCTTTCAGATAAAATGTGGAAAATATATTTCCTGCCTGCCTCCCAACAGAAATACAGTAATAAAATTATGCACAATGGGAACTCTAAAGAGGGGCACCCTAATCTAGCTTCTTGGAAGATGTCTGCACAAAGAAGAAAGTTGGGACCAAGATAGGCTTTCAAGAATAGATGAAGGCATAAGTAAATCCTTCACCTCAGCCTCAACCTAAGATTCCAGTCTTATCTCATTCTGCTCCCAAATACATCATGCTTACACTTTCAATCCTCCATACTTTAATGTTCTTACAATCTAGGAACATCTAGTTCAAAACTGGGAGACTACCTTGCCCCAGTTGCTGTAACATTTCCAGGCTCTAAAGTTGCCATTACACTTCTACTGTATTTAATGTATATACTAAGTATTCATCTCAATCTGAGAGACTGTGAACACAATATTAACTTTTGTATTCAAACTGTGGGTAGCCAAAAAAAGATTACACTCCTTCCAGTATCTAAATAGAATACAAGAAATGTTCTCAAATTTGCAACATTTCCAAAAGAACACAATACATGTCAGTAAAATTTGTAAAAATTATCATGAAAAGTTAAAAATCTATAACCATTAATCTTGATCCAGAACAGAATGAAACCATGACAAGACATCCTTACCAGAAGATACGAAATGTATTCAGAGAACAAAATGTTTAAGCAATGGTTATAATTTAAACTCACACCAAAAAGCAAATGCCAATTTTCAAATAAGATAAATTCAGAATGACCAAAAAAATCACATAATTATTTAAGCATTCAAAATCAGCTTTAGTGCATCTTAGCTATCTTTTAACCAAGGTATCTTTTCCTGGGACTGTTGAGTTTAAACAATTTTTAGATACTGTCTAGAAGACACCTGCTGCTCTGTGTCATATACTAAGACCTCTTTGAAAGTTCTCTTGGTATTAAAACTTACTATAGATGAAAAACAGATAACAAAGCATCCAAAAATTGGATGCAATCACCACTACATATAAGACTCACAACTCAAAGGCTCTTTATTCATATAACTGCCTCAAGAGTAACTCTTAGGAAGGAATAGCCATACCACTCGCATCTATTTTGAGACTTCAGTCTCATTTTAAGAATGTCTATCAACTCCCAAGATACGGAGATACACACGTGCAGTATTCCCACCCACACTCCACTACCTAAATGTTTCACCACTCTAGTCAAACAAAATCTCTTTCAATACAATGAGGCCACCTCACCACTTTTATCCTAACCCTATCATACCATCTCATTCCCGTCATGTCAGTCACAGAACACACAACACCCCTTTGCAAGTTACACATGTCTATTCCCTTGAAACAAACACATTTACACAAATAGCCTGCAATATCCTTCACCCTTACCCAGTGCTATTGACCCTCACAAATCAACTGAATCTCTAAATTATGCCCTCTTTCCCCCATCCCATTTCCATCAACACAACCAACAGAAACCTTACTCAACTTCCCACACCCGAAGCGATCTTCAGTCGTAATCTCACTTTAAATGATCATTCAGTCCTTTGTCAACCGTCTCCTGGTTTTTCTCCTGTATCCTCCTCACCTTCCCTGTCCCAGGGTTTTCCATCAGTTTCAAAAGTTGCCACTATCAAACCAACCCCCCCCCAAACAAAAAAGATAAGAAAACAAAAAACACACCTCAATCTCAAATCTGCCTTTTCCCACTTTCTCCTCTTAATTTTCCTCCCCGCCTATCGGTTCACTTCGACAGCAGCTCCGACAACCCCTTAGACCCTAGTCTGGCCTCATCCAGTACCTATTGGTAACGGCACTCATCCTGCCTGGGTCAAGCTGCCCCCCACTAGGGCGCTTACTCCGAACAGACTCTTGGCCGCCGCTGCCTCCCTCCATTCATCCCCGGCCCATTCATCTCTCAGCCCGATCCCAGACACGCCCCCCGGCCTCCTCCCTCTCTCCCACAGCCCGGCCGGCCCGGGACCCTCACCAGACTAGAGACTCTCACGGAGGGAGACTGACTCTTTTCGCTTCTCCCTTGCCCTCTCTCAAGCCTTCTCCAGCCCCCCGACGAGCCACACTGTAGAATAGCGACATACACACACACCGTCTCCTCCTCTATCGCCTCCTCGGATGCTTCTTACTCCCCTCCTCGATGTCTCGGGCTTTGCTCCCCGTCGTGTGCGCGTGCGCGCGTGAGCGTCTCCCCGCGAGCCCACCGGGCCAGCTACGGCCGGTAGGTAAAGAGCGGGCGGGGTTAGGGGAGCGGGGTACGAGCTCGAGCTCGCGCTCGCCCGGGAGCTGACCAGGCGCACGCGTACTCCAGCCAGGGAATTCAGATGGATAGGAGAGAGGGGCGGAGGGGGGCGGGGAAGGGAGGGGAGGAAAGGAGAGGGGGAGGGGCGGAGAAAGCCAACGGAGCAGCCCCAACTCCGAACGGCCCCTATCGCAGCGAGGTGCCGAGTGGCTAGCCAACTAGAGCGTGCGCACGCCTCCCCCGCCCTCTTCAACGCAGCGGGAGAGGGATGCGCGTCGAGGAGAAAGGCTTCTCCCCCTTCCAAAAAGAAATCTCTTTGAGGAGCCACACGCGACACCCCCAGAGTGTTGTGAAGCTCTCGCTCTTTCCACAAATTCTATGCCCTCTCCCCTCAAAAAAGAAAAAAAAAATCTAAGTACACACTACTTCCTAGCCACCCATCGCCCACTATCAGTTCTCCGCAAGCCTTTAAATGCGGTAGCTGTGTGGAGAAGTGGTACCCGCCAGTACCTTTTCACCCACCACCCCTAACTCCCTTTTTCCAACTCCCAGTTTTTCTCGCGAGACCCGTACCTGCTGGCTTCGGGATTAGAAGTCGAAGCACAGATTTACAAATACCGGTCTCCCGGTTACGTTGCGAGGGCAACGGCCACGGCATGTCCCCCCCACCCCCCAGGACCGCAGTGCGCGCGCGCGGGGGCTGGGCAACAACCAAAGCAGGGATGGGAAAGGGAAGCTATGAAACGGATTTTTGACGGCATGTAACCGCTAGGCCTGGGCACGTGCCCTGCGCCTCACAGGCGGGTGTGGTGTATCCTGGGAATTGTAGTTTTTGCTCCCACCTTCAGTCCCACTCCCACCCTCAGCTTTACTCAGGCCTCTGACCGGGAGGGGGATTACCGACGCCATTTTGCCAGGAACAATGGCCCTAGGCCCTGGCGATGGCGGTAGGGGGAGGGAGCAATGTTTTAAGGGTTCAGTTAACCTCCCCTGGCCCCTCGGTGCCATAGCAACCCCTTCAGAAACCTGGCCCCGCCTCCTCGCTGCTCTATGGGCTCCTGGACTGCGCGCATGCGAAGAGGCCACCCCCTGGGGCTGGCTGTCTCCCACTGTCCACCTTCCTGAAAAATTCCCAGGTCCTCTTGCTGGATGCTGCCTTCTTCCAGCTTTCCCTACATGTTAACCTCAGCCCAGCAGCTTTATTTAAGAAGTGTTTCCTGTGCTGTATGAGACAGTGCAGAATTATTTCTGTCATGCTCACATCAACGATCCTGACTTGACAGAAGAGGAAACTGAGGATCATGAGGGGAAAATGGACTTGACTTGCTCAAGTTCACATAACTATGTATGGAAGAGTGAAACTTGAGCTTAGGTGTGCTTTCTCCAGAGCTTAGGCATTTTCAGTCCCCCAGGATGCATCTGGTATCAGCACCTGAATGAAAACTCTTAAAGGGCAGGATTTCTTTAGCAATGCCCCTCAAACAGGATGTCTTGAGGGTAGGAGGCAATATGGAAAATACCAAGCTACTCTTTACAACTGCCCACCCTCAGAGCCTATTCTCTGAGTTATACACACCTCTCCTCTCTACCCAACTTTTTAAAAAAACTTTTCCCAGAACCTTAGCCTTTTTCAGCTCTTTAAAAAGAAACTATCAGCCGGGCGTGGAGGCTGAGCCAGAAGGATTGCAAGTTGCAAGCCAGCCTCAGCAACTAGGAGGTGAGCTAAACAACTGAGACCCTGTCTCTAAATAAAATAGAAAATAGGGCTGGGGATGTAGCTTAGTAGTAGAGTGCCCCTGAGTTCAATCCCTGGTACCCCCCCCACCCCCGCATACCTGTAGTCTCAAAGACTCCGGAATCTGAGGCAGGAGGATCACAAATTCGAGACCAGCCTCCACAAATTAGTGAGGTTCTAAGCAACTTGGCAAGACTCTGTCTCCAATTTTAAAAAATAATAATAATAAAATAAAAATGGCTGGGGATGTGGCTCAGTGGTTCAGTGATTAAGCACCCCTGGGTTCACTCCCTGGAACAAAAACAACACCACAAAAGAACTATCAGCTGGATAAGGTGGCACAAAGGACTCAGAAGGCTGAAGCAGGAGAATTACAAATTTGAGGCCAGACTGGGAAATTTAGACATACCCCGTCTCAAATTTTTAAAAAGGCAGGGGATGCAGCTTGTTGGTTAAAAAAGAAAAGAAAAGAAAAGCCCCCTGGGTTCAGCACCAAATAAATAAATATGACTATCAATGAAGTTAACTGCAGTTTCCAAGGTCCAAATGGAATGTAACAGAAGGAGGCCTTGTAGCTCTGTCTCTTGTATCTACAACCTTTTTTTTTTTTGAGGATTGTTCTCTGTGTGTGTGTGTGTGTGTGTGTGTGTGTGTGAGAGAGAGAGAGAGAGAGAGAGAGAGAGATTGAACTCAAGGTCAGATATGCTAGGCAACTGTTCTACCACTGAGCTACATCCCCAGACCTTTTCATTTTATTTTGAGGCAAGGTCTTGCTAAATTACCCAGGCTGGCCTCCAACTTGTGATCCTTTTGCCTCAGCCTTCCACATAGCTGGGTTTATAAGTGTGCACCACTGTACCCAGCCAAAGTTCACGTATTATTCCCAGTATTGCCAGAATTTGTAAGGTAACAAGACCATGAACTTAATAAATTTAAACTCCTATCTTCAATCAATTTTGACCATGGAGGGAGACAGTGAACAATAATCAGGGATAAGAAGTCCAGACACTCCACCTGTAGAGATGTTACTTTCTGGCAGATTTGGAAGAACAAAGTATGTATTCTCTAAATAATACCAGATTTGTCTCTTAAAGTTCTCTGCATTCCCAGTTAGTTGAAGAATGGATGGATTATCCTGTACTCTTTCTTTCCTCAATGCTCCTAAATATAGTCCTTATTCTCTGTTGAGCTATTGACTACTGTGGAGGGAAACTCTGGAAGATTAACTAACCACCAAGGGGCAGTTTCAAAGATTACCAATACGTTCCAAGTCTTTGTAGGTCCTGACTCTCACAGGGTAAGAAATGTGTGGCCACCTTTTTTGTTTCTCAATGTTGACCAAATCATAAAACTCCTACATACATTCCTTTATGAAAAGCAAGGCACCTAGCTCAGTTATGGCCCTGTCCCTCTCACCTTTGTCTCTCAGCCTAATGATGTAATCAATACAAGGATACATAGAAATGTTAGCCCTTCAACCTGCTCAGAGGTGAACTCTTCTGAGAAGTCCCTCTTTGACAGCCTCTTTTAAATATAAGCAAAATAAGCCAGACACAAAAAGACAATTATGATATGTTTTCTTTCATATGTGAAAACCAAAAAGAAAAAAAAATCACTTGGAAGCATAAGAGGGCCTATTAGAGAAAGGAAGGAGAACAGGGAAGCAGGAAGATGGTAAGTAGAAGAGAGGTTGAATATGATCAAAGCATGATATATGCATGGATGGAAATGTCACAGCAAAACACATTAATTTGTACAATAAATATGCAATAATAATTATAATAAAAATGCCTGTTAACCCATTATGTCCCAAGTTTTTGATTCTGTATTATTTTGTGGGGTTTTTTGTTTGTTTGTCTTTGCAGTGCTAGAAATTGAACCCTAGGGCCTCACACATGCCAGGCAAGCTCTACCACTGAGCTACATCCATGAACCCTCAAATACTACTTAAAAGTTACCATAAGGGGTATATTTATTCCTCAATTTAAGTTCTTATAGCTGTGCCACATTTTGGACAATGGGACAAAATGGGTTAAGTAGTGTGACTTTTACAAGCTTTAGAAATTTGAAAATCAAATAAGTCTGCTCTCCTCCAAGTACAGGCCCTTCTCAATTTAGACCTCTTATTGGCATATGTACTCTTCTGTTTGAGACGCTCTAATCCAGAACTCAGCACAAATGCCACTGTATGCAGAAAGGGGAGTGGGCAATTATAGCTAATCACCAGTATACATCAGGGAACATTCTCTTCTCTACCCACTGGCTTCCACTGTCTCTCAAGTGGTATTTGTGGTGTTCCTACCCATCAAACAGAAAAATTTGACTTGCATTAACCACTTGTAGTTTGGCTTTACATTATTCCAGGAAAACATCTTTCAATAATATAGTTCATCATTTTTGGAGGCTCTGGTGCCAAGAAAGCACAAAAGCTTTCACTGAAATTATTTTTAGAACCCAGCATCCCACAGGGGTGGGAGCAAGGGATTAGTTTTATGACCCTACTAGCTGTTGGTCTCCTTTCTTCCACATGGGATGGTAACATCTTCCATCAACAAGGTGAACCTCAGAATTCAGAGCTGACTACTGCAGCCGTGGGTAAAGTTGTGACTTCTTCTGAAACTCAATTTATGGTTCTGTGCCCTCCTTTTACCAACTTATTAGGAGAACAGTATCAATAATTGTTCACATTTACTTCCCTTAACCCAGGTGATAGCACAATTTGGGGATCTTAGGAGGTGCACAGACATGAGTGTGGAAAGTAAAGGTAGAATAAGTGTACCTGCATCTAATTCCTTAGATACTGGCAATTACTGCTATGCCCTCTGCCCATGTGAGTCCTTTCAAGTGCTAAGGTCCTCTCCAAGTCTTTCACATACTTGAGGCACAAAATAATTTACTGAAGTCATTTATTGATCTGTCTTTCAAGACATTCCACAAAGTTCTTTCTCTCTTGAATCTTCCCACCAACCAAGTATTTCTCTGGGGAAGCTGAGCCCAGTCTGCATTGCTTGAGCTCCCACAGAGTTCTCTCTCTGTTCTCCCCAATGAGAGTGGAATGAGAAAGAGAATAATTGCTTTTTAGGGTTCGTGCAAATATTTATTTATTTATTTATTTATTTATTTATTTATTTATTTATTTTACAGTAGAATGCATTTTGACATATAGTAGACAAGTAGAGCACAATTTCTCATTCCTCTGGCCCTACATGGCTCAGAGTTACTCCAGTATATAATCACACATGTATATAGAGTAATAATGTCTGTCTCTTTTGTGCAAATATTTCTTCTTTCAAGTTCTCTTGGCCAAATACTTGGTCTCTGCCCCTGCATCCTAATCCCCCTTATCTGAAAGTTTGTGCTTTTGGAACACAAAAACTAAAAAGACAGCCAGGTGTGGAGGCACACACCTTCAAGCTACTTCAGAAGCTGAGGCCAGAAGATCACAAGTTCAAGCCCAGACTGGGAAAATCAGTGAGATCTTTTCTCAAAATAAAAATAAAAATAAATTAAAAAGGACTAGGGATGTGACTCAGTGGTAGAGTGCCCTGGGTTTAGTTTCCAGTAGAGTAAAAAGCAAAACAAAAAAAGAACCTAGAAAGACTAGCAGAGTGTTTTCCTGCCTTGTTACCCCCCTCCCTTGAGATATACCACAAAACTGACTATGTGGAAAGGAAGGTGGAGGAGAAACATACAGGAAAGAAAAAAGTTCATTTATATCTCAAAATAATACTAAGCAACATTCTTCCTATATTAAATTTTAATATCCTAATGAAGAAAATGTATTTG